TTTTCTTCCTGAGGCCCATTTCTCTCCTTCCAATATTCCTTTCTGTGGGCGGTTCTGTTAGATATGACAAGGGTCTCAAAGTCTGGGCAGTTCTAAACGTTATTTCTTGGTAAATGTTAAAATATAGCACAGGATTTTGCAGAGGCAGCAGTAAACAAATAGGATGAGCTGGCAGGAACTCAAAATAAATAAATAAATAAATAAAAGTAATCAACTGCAAAGAAGAAATAAACATGTAACTGACCAGAGTGTCTAAGAGCAATACCAAGGCTTAGCTGGGGGAGGCAGAGCTTTGCTTAGGAATCCCATCTCCTTCTCTTGCTGCAAGTAAATAAAACCACCTGGCGACAACCACATCTTGTTCCCACTGGAACAGCCCAAGCAGAGAACCCCTGGAGTTCAGTAGCAGTTCCGCTGTAAATCCCTTTTCCTTCTCGGTCTCATTCCTTTCCTGCTATGTGTCAGGTATTCCTCTAGGACAGTGATTGGCAACCTCATTAGTCCACAGAGCCAAATATCAACAGGACGATTGACATTTCTTTTGAGAGCCAGATTTTTTAAACTTAAAATTTCTTCTAATGCCACTTCTTCAAAATAGACTCGCCTAGGCCATTGGAATTTTGTGGAAGAGCCATACTCAAGGGGCCAAAGAGCCGTATGTGGCTCATGAGCCAGTTTGCTGACCACGGGTGTAAGATTTGGGGAAGGATTAAATGAAGCAGAGAAGACCTCTGATACTGTGGACCTTATATATTCTATGGCAGGAGATGGAGAGGGGAAAAAATACCCAAGATAATAAATAAGGGAATTTCAGTTAATGACAAGAGAGAGCTGTGAAAGCAATCTGGATGATGTGATAATGTGACAGATGGATCAGGGGGTTGGAAATGGGGGAGGCTGCTTTGGAAAGGAAGTCTGCTGGGGGTGAGAGGGAGGAGAATTAAAATTGAGTTCAGACTTGAGTCATAGGAAATATTCAGGCAATGGGAAAGCATGTCAGTTAGAGAGAAAGGCTTTGCAGCAAGAAGCCATGAAGCAAATGCTAGGAACTGAAGGGAAGCGTGTGGGGTTAGAGCTTAGAGAACCATGACAGGAGTGATGGTAAGAAATGAAGTCTGAGTTTGCAGGGGCCAGATCACAAGTGGCCTGGGAGGTAATGTAGGGGTTTGAGTTTATTTTAAATGCACCACAATGCCAGGCCCTCCCCAGCAAGGTGATGAATTATTTATCCAGAACACTGACTATCCATTGTTGATCTCCTCTGCATTATCCACAGACTGAGCCTAGTACGATTTCATGACAGTCGAACACACATAAAGGATTTATTATACCAGGGCATTTGGGACACACAAGAACAGCTGACATATGTGAGCCCTCTGCTTCACTCTCATCATGGCCTCTTCTCTCATTTCTCTGACATAATAAAGCTGCCTCATTCCTACATTCTTATGCCACCTGTTCCTTGTTCATTTTTTTTAAAATATATATAAATTCATCATTTGCCTTTGGAGTTTCATGTTTTTAATCTCCAAATGATGAACATAGATGTATTTTAAAGATCAGTTCATTTATCCATATTTCCATGTGGGTCATTAGGGCACGATGATTGGTTCCATTCTCAACCAAAAAATTCCCATTCAGCAGCGATGACTCACGTTGTTGTGAATCATCCAAGTGCTGGGGTGACCTGCCAGCCACAGCAGGCCTCCATGGCAGCTCTAATATAGTAAGTACTTTATTTTTGCCATTAGCACTATTCAATCCCAACTGTCTTTGACACAGCCCCAAAAGTTTTCTAAATAAAATCCAACCGAAGAAAAAGAAAAAAGAAAAAAAAAAAGTGACAGTTAATGAACATTTTTCAGCAAATTCCTTGTAGTTGGGATAAAAATATCCCGATTGTTCAGGTGACTTGAAATTACCAGGTTTTATAGCATGTGTTACCACCACTCACAATGAATCTTAGTGTATCTAAAAGTCCCACAGTAATCAACTCCAATTAGAATGCCTCTCCACCCAAATTAAGTTACCAATCAAATAAGTCCTCCCAAAGGAGAAGTGTAGCCAAGGTAAATTAGATTAGCCCTATCATTTTATAAGTCCTATTGGGACTCTCCAGTTACACTGTAGTATTCTTACCAGTTTTTCTTTAAACAACAACAAAAAAGAATGCATGATTCATGTGTTTCCATTTAAGAAATTCAGTTACGAATTTTCAAGTGGACAGCCCATACTTTTGAATGGTACTCTGGAACGGTACAATGGTGTGTGTGTGTGTGTGTGTGTGTGTGTGTGATACTAATTGCCACATCACAAAAATCCATCCCTTCGAAAGAAAACACAATGACAAAAAGTTTTCTCAGGATACTTCAGTGGAATGGATGCTTTTATTTGAACTAATGTCTACACAAATACACTCAGTTACAAATGAGAGCTCCTGAGGCCTGATTATAATTTAAACTCTGAAAGATGAGCAGGACTGTTAAGAGACCTTCACTGACATGGTAACCTATGTCCCTTGATATGGGAAGGGGAGTTGGGTTCTCCTCTAGTCCCCTCGCTTGGGATTAAATGAGAGAATTCAGCTTTGGTGTGAAGCTGTTAGCTGTCCTAATCAAGGACAATATACAAAAATTGGGCTCTAGGAATGAGGGACCAAAGGGAAGAAAATCTAGAAGTGGGTAGAGATAAAAGGGCAGCACTGAGCCGCAGAAAATGTCAAGGATGGCAGACTCTAGTTAAGATCAGTGGGAGGGGATTCTTGGTGTAGAGGCAGAGAAATCAGACAAGGCAAAGATGACCTTGGCCATCCAGAATGAAGGAGACGGGGGAGGGAGGGTCTGCATGTGGTAGACATCTGAATTAGAAACAGCAGAAATGGAAACCAGCAATGGTTCCTTTCTAGCTTAGATGTGGCTCTTCTCCCACTGGACAAATACATTTTCATGCGGAGATCCAATCATTAACACAATAAACTCTCATGAGGTCTATAGGTTGAGGGTGGTTCTATTCTCAAACATGAGGCTGGCTCTGCTCTCAAACATGGGGGTGGGTCCATTGCTGGGAGAGGAGGCATGAAGGTGTGGAATCTGAACATCGTGAATAAGTCCTCTAGTAGCTCTGATCACTTTGGACATTCCTGGGAGATACATAACAGGTCACTATAACAACACAACACATACTGATATTTGTTTGTTCCCCATGACAATGAGTTTCTACCATCTTAGTTTACAGAGATAGTATTCAGTCCAGGTTACAATCATATTTTACAAAAGAGAATTGAATTACACAGATATCTATAACATGATGGGATGAATCACAGGGGCCGGAAGTCAGAAGAGCTATGTTTCAGTTCCTGCTTGGCTGTGTGGTCCTGGAGTTGTTTAACATCTCTGGCTCTCAATTCGTTCACTTGTAAAGTGTGATGGTGAACCCACTATCTCCTCCACCCCCACCTCCATATACTCCCTCCCTGTTCTTGAGAGGATCAATGTAAACGCAAACAGAGCATGTGGCACTGAGCCAGACTGGATAACTGCGTGAACTCTCATGTAACCATCTGTCCTCAGGAAGGGGCATGTTGCCCACCGGTTCCCTAAGTCTCATCAAAGGCCCTTTATGTGTAATTCTCCAGAAAAGGAATTTTCAAATGATAGTCTTGGAATAAGTTCAAGAGGTGTCTCAGATCGCTTCCGGTTCAAATGAAAAATTACTTTGGTTGGAGGTGGGGCCAAGCTGTGTCCCCTCCAGAAGCCACAAGGACAAGTCAGCCTTTATTCTAGCAGTGGTTGGTCTAGAACAGCAGCTTCCTAGGTGTCAGCTCTGTGTCCTATCTCCTACTCTAAACACTACCATTAACACTTTTATCCAAAATACACTCGAGTTCTATATACTTACTACAGGAGAGAAAAGAACTAGACGTTACCACGTGCCCTCTCTGGGCTAAGCGTGTATAAGGTGTTTTACATACAGTCTCAAGGCAACTTGAAAAGGTAGGTACCACTGGCCTCATTTTACAGGTGAAGAAACTGAGACTCCGAGCGGTTATGACTTGGCCAAATTCACACCACCGGGACCTAAGAGAAATCTGAAATAAAAGTGCAGGTCTTCTGACTTCACAGTCCATGCTATCTCATGCTGCCTAGAAGGAAGGGAAATGAGGGTGACGGGTTAGCCAGAAAAGTTAGGGAGAGGGATATGCCGTTAGTACAGAGCTCACCCATTCAATACCATTCTGCAGTGTCCAGTGTTCCAATAATCGGAATACGACGGACATCTTCACTATTAAGTCACCATTAAACATAAGCGATCTGACTTTGATGATCCGTAAGGTGCTTTCAGATTCTGCTGTGCCTTAAGGTTCTCACCAACAATACTGGCCATCAGTGCCCTGCAGCGCGGAGAAGAAAAAGGCAGGGAACGGAAGCCAGGTCACCTGCTTCCGTGCCGCCAGCACCGCACAGCTGTTATTGGCTTTCCTTCCATCAGGTCAACAAGCAGAATCTATCAACATGGTCCCGCCTATTTAGACATACAGGATATCCGAAACACATCCATTCTCATGCCCAGGGAGAAAGAAATCCATCCGAAAGGACCTCGCCTTTCACGAAGTTCCACCCTTCACATCCTCCAACAGTCACATCGCGGTGCACAGTACTGTGGGCAGTCCCCGTGTCTACCGCAAAGCAGGGCTGAACACAACTGGAGAACGTAACCGGCATTTTAACGCCCCCCCCCCCCCGCCCTCCTTGGGTGGGTCGGACTGCGTGAGGCAGTGCGGCTGTGTGGAGGGGACAGAGGTCCAGATCTGAGGCCACCTGCTGCTCCCACCAAGCTTCTTGACCGGCCTTCTTCTCCTCTGCTGTCCCCATGCCTCTGGCCCCCGGCAACGTGAAACAACGAAACGTCTGCAAGCGGCCGTGTCTCAGTGAGGAGCTCAGCGTTCGCATCTCCGAGGAGCAGCCGCCGATTCCAGGAAAGGGTCTCTGTCCCGGGGCCCCCTAGAGCAGGCTGGGGTGGAAGTTGTACCGGAGGCTGGAGAAGAGCCCGATGTGCTTCACGAGGTTGGGCTCCACCACGTAGGCCCGCTCCCCCTTGGCCCGCAGCAGCGAGAACAGGGCCATGTCCTTGCCGAAGCCCTGGTGGCAGTACACCTGGGACAGGTAGGTGAGGGCGCGGCGGGCCGCGGGGGCCGGGAAGAGCATGGCCGGGGTGCAGCACTGCGAGGCGGGGACCACGCTGTAGAGGGACGGGCTCAGCCGCCGCAGCTCCAGGAAGTAGTGCCTGCCCACCAGCTCCACCAGCCCCATGCTGTAGAGCGAGAAGAAGAGCAGGACGGGCCAGCTGAAGCCCGGGCGGCTGGCGAACCGCATGTACAGCCAGGTGAGCAGGGGCCCCAGCACCATGCCCACGCCGACCCACTCCAGGATCCGCATGGGCTCCGGGTTGATGTAGTGCTGCAGCCTCTCGGGGTGGTAGAGCTTCAGGTACAGGGCGTCTCGGAGGTGGGGCTCGGAGAGGCGGGCCCGCAGGAGGTGCTCCAGCACGGGGAAGATCTGCTCCTCGGGGATGGCGTCGTCCTCCACCATCAGGACGTAGTCCGGGTTGTAGGTCTGCAGGGAGGACTCCAGGCAGTAGACGTAGTCCTGCTTCTCCTTCTCGAACGAGTTGGTGGACGGGTCGTCCCCGTAGTCGTCCTCGGTGCCCTCGTAGCGGTTGGCCACGGGCACGTACCTGGACAGCAGCTTGGCGTCCCCGTGGCTCACGCTGCGCTCCACGTTGCACAGGAAGAGCTGGTGGCCCTCGCACGGGGGGCCGCACTGCTGGAGGAGCCGGTGGAACCGGGACACCACCTGCAGGACGTAGTGGAAGCCGGGCTGCCTGTCCACCGTGACGATGGTGATGACCAGCCAGGGCCGGGGGGTGGCCTGCCACACGATGGGCACCGAGCCGTTGGCGGAGGGCAGCTCCTCGAAGTAGTGGAGGGCGGCCTCGCCCTCCTTCAGGCTCTGCTGCAGGTAATCTTGGCTCATCTGGTTCAGGTGCCAGTGGCGAAGGTAGAAGTAGGAGTGGAGAAGCCGGTGGCAGGCCAGGGGGGCCAGCAGGCCAAACGTCACCACGGTCAGGAGGAAGAGCTGGACGGCCGTGCTGCCCCAGGAGAGCCGCCTCAGCCTCCGGAGGAGCATGGCCGCGGGGGAGGCGGACGTGCTCATGAGGTCGACTTCTCTGGTCAGGTCTGGTCCCGAGAACAAACCATCCTGGACCCCAGGCCCAGTTCAGCGCAAGTCAACCCTAAAGGAAGAGGAGGCAGAGACTGGTAAAGGGACAAGACTCAGCGTATATGAAACCAGGAATTCCAGGTCTAGGTCGTGTGGCTATTAGAAATGGGAAGGGGTGGGGAAATCTTTTTCTGTCAAGGGCCACTTGGGTATTTATAACATCATCCTCAACTTAAAAATTAGCCTGCTGCTACAGACCTAAATAGATACTTTTCGAAAGAAGACAGAAGGAAGGCCAAGAGACATATGAAAACATGCTCAAAGTCACTAATCATCTGAGAGATGCAAATCAAAACGACAATGCGGTACCACCTCACACCTGTCAGAATTGGCAAGCATCAACAAAACAACAAACGACAAGTGCTGGCGAGGATGCGGAGAAAAAGGAACCCTTGTGCACTGCTGGTGGGAATGCAGACTGGTGCAGTCACTATGGAGAACAGTATGGAGTTTCCTCAAAAACCTAAAAATGGAATACCCATTTGGCCCAGTGATCCCAATTCTAGGAATATATCCCAAGTAACTAGAAACACCGATCAGAAAGGATATATGCACCCCTATGTTCGTAGCAGCACAATTTACTATAGCTCAGATTTGGAAACGGCGTAAGTGCCCATCAGCAGATGAATGGATTAAAAAAACTGTGGAACATCTACACAATAGAATACTGCACTGCGGTTAAAAAAAAAAGAAAAAAAAAAAAAAAGGAATTCTTACCATTTGCAACAGCATGGATGGAACTGGAGAGCATTATGCTAAGTCAAATAAGCCAGTCGGAGAAAGATAAATACCACATGATCTCACTCATTTGTGGAATATAAATGAACAACATGAACTAATGAACAAAAACAGATCCAGAGACAGAGAAGCATCAATCAGACCGTCAAACCTCAGAGGGAAGGTAGGGGAGGGTGAGGGTAAGGGGGAGTGATCAACCAAAGGGCTTGTATGCATGCATATATGCCTAACCAATGGGCACAGACATCAGGGGGATGAGGGCATGAGTGGGGGCAGTGAGGGGAGACAGACACACAGTAAGTACTAAGATGACAATGTGGTCATAATGACAAAGCCCAGGTCTGTGTTTGGTATGAACCATCCTCCTTCCTCACACGTTTCTAGTGACAGTTTTTAGTAACACAACAATGTGACACTCTTTAGTCCAGGGGTGGGATTTTTCGGGAGTGTGTGTGTGTGTGTGTGTGTGTGTGTGTGTGTGTATGTGTGCACTCATGTTTGGGGGGCGCATATAAGTGTGCCTGCATACAATTGATTTAAAAATATGCATCTGGCCGAAGCCGGTTTGGTTCAGCGGTAGAGCGTCGGTCTGCGGACTGAAAGGTCCTAGATTCGATTCCGGTCAAGGGCATGTACGTTGGTTGCGGGCACATCTCCCGTAGGGGGTGTGCAAGAGGCAGCTGGTCGATGTTTCTCTCTCATCGACATTTCTAGCTCTCTATCTCTCTCCCTTTCTCTCTGTTAAAAAATCAATAAAATATATTTTTTAAAAATAAATAAATAAAATTAAAATATGCATCTGATCATGTCAATCTCTTGCTTAAAACCCTTCCTTGGTTTTCCTTTGATCTCTTAATAAAACCCAATCTTCTTATCATGGTCCACAAGGCCCTTCATGATGTGGACCCTGCCTTTCTCTGTCATCTTGTTGAAACTGCCTCCCTTAGTATGTTTGAGACTGTACGTTGGCAATCTCTTTCTGTAAAGTGTTAGACAGTAAGTGGTATTTTAGATTTTGTGAGTCACACGCTGTGTCTGTTGCATATTCTTCACAGACTTTTGTTATTGTTGTTCATCCTCACCCGAGGATATTTTCCCCATTGGTCTTTAGAGAGAGTGGCGGAAGGGAGTGAGAGAGAGGGAGAGCGAAACATCCATGCGAGTGAGATACATTGATCAGTTGCCTCCCCCGACAGGAGAAGGGAACTAGGTGGCTTAGGGACTAGGGTGACATAAAAAGTATTTTATTAAATACCTACTTACACCTTTGGGTTTATAGTTACCGACTTACAGAAAATAGATTTTCAACTTTAATATATTTGACATAAAGATCCAATTCCAGCAATTTCTGGAATTTGCTAGATTCCTTGCTAACCCTCGGTTCAGCCAGCCTGCCCCAGCAAAACATAAACTTGTCTGTCTGGATCACCATGGATACTCAGCACCTAGCACTACGGAAGGGTCAAGTCCACAATATTTACTGAATGAACAAACTGAGTGAGGGCACACCCTTACACCAGATATGACTGGAGAGGCCCTGCAAGCACCAAGTTCTCCCAGGCCCTTGGCTTCCTGCTTGAATTGTCTAGGACAAGCATGTCAAACTCAAAAGCTAACACAGGCCAAACAAACAAGGTTTATGTTTATATGGGCCGCAAAAAAACAAGAGCTTCAATTTTCATAGAAACATAGGTTTATTTCGATAGAGACATGCTGAATACAAAGGGCTGAAATAAATGAGTAACCGACAACATAATAGAACTTTGTAATAAAAATTATTATTTTTTCTTGAACACTAACTTACCAGACACCGAATAACTGCACAAATTAATAAGCATAACGCAAATAAATCCATTTTTCTTGTTCTCCGAAAGCGAAGTGTTTCCTGTTGTGCACACCAAACAAGTCAGTACAAAACTAATGTTGGGGTAATTGGCTGCTAAAATATTTGCTGCTAGTATTAGTGGGGAGAAATGGTGCGTCTGTACATAATGAATAGCACTTTACCATTATAGTAATTAGTTATTAGCGAATGTTGTAGTTCATTATTAATAATTATGTACAATAGGGTATTGTAAAAATTAAGTTACAAAATTTTTATTAAAATGTTTCTTATATACCATTATATTGGATGGGCTGCAAAAATATTAGTTGTGGCCACATGCGGCCCATGGGCCGAGAGTTATACATGTTTGGTCTAAGACAGTGGTTATCAACCAGTGGTCTGTGAACCACTTGTGGTCTTTGAGGTCCGAAAGGTTGGCAACCGCTGGCCTAGGATCTTGCTAAGGGGCCTGGTGTGCTTGCAGGGCTGGCTCCAGAACTTCTGTACGAAAGAGACTTGTGTGTTCCAGGTAGCAGAGGGGAGGAAGAGGACTTTCTTAAAGCTCTGTTTATAAAGCAAGCATGACGATGTTCCTTAGATTTCATTACTTATTGGGATGGAAACTAAGGAACCCAGTGCTGATATAAAGAGGACCTTTAATCCCAGGCAATTTCCCTATACTGGGAGCAATGAATCATTAACATCTCAGAAATCTTAAAAATCCGGTGTGAGACCGCTGTTCTACTGATGATTAGTGAAGGAGAGGGGTTCCTTCTGTTCAGAGAACACATGGTCCCTGGAGACTGATCAGCTCTTGGCAGGGTGATGAACAGTCCCAGATTTTTCTTATCCACTCCCGAGGATGATTTTTGTTAATGAGAGAGAGAGAGAGAGAGAGAGATTGATGTGAGAGAGAAACATCAATTGATAGCCTCCTGCACACTTGTCCACTGGGGATACAACCTGAAACCCAAGTATGTGCTGACCAGAATGGAATCCGAATCCAAAACCTCCTGGCGTACAGGACTATGCTCCAACCAAACGAGTCACCTCGCCAAGGCGATAGTCCCAGATGTTCATGGCTTACAATAACAACATGCATTTCATGGTCGCTGGTCTGTGGACAGCTGCAGCTCAGCTTGGGTTCAGCTCCAGGCTGCAGGTCAGAATCAGGCCACTGCACAGACATCCCATTCCTGTCAAGTTGCAGAACAGCCACCTGGGCATGCTCCTCGGCTGGGTGGCAACTATACAAGAATCAAAATATGCAGATTCATTTACAGCCTCGCTTAAGTGGGCCACAGGTCAAGTCCACTCACCGTGCACGGGCCAAAGCAGTGAGCCAGAGAAATGTACTTGTCCACAGAGCAGAGCAAGGGGAAGCAGCAGACCGGTTTCTGGAAAAAAGATAGGATCTCGCAATCTGCTCAGAGGATCTGGGCAATGTCTAGAATGCTCACTCCGAAGGCACCTGGCTCCCTATCATGATATACCGTATAGGTCAGAACAGGCTACAGCAAAGACCCCAAAGTCCCAGGGGTTTATAAAAACTGAGGTTTGATTCTTGCTCACATTCCTTTACATTATGGGTCTACTGTCTCTGCTCCGTGTCATCTATACGCCAGGTCCTGGGCAGGCAGAGGTGCCTCTTCCCTCACCATGGCTGGTTTTGTGGCAGAGGGGAGAGGGACAGAGAGTGAGGCGCATGCTGGCTCTCACAGCTGCGGCTCAGAATCACTCACATCACGCCCAACTGCATTCACTGGCCATGGCAAGTCACTCAGTAACTCTGACATACAACAGGGCAGAGTTATGTAATCTTCCACAAGAAAGGGAGTTCTAAAAACATGGCCAAGCCTGAAGTCCATGACTAGGGAAATGTATGTCTCTCCAGGGAGGGCCAGAAGATGTCTTGAGCAACAATGCACGCCCTCCTTCAGCCACAGGAGATGGGATCAGATCCCCCATTCAATGATCAGAGATGTCTGCTTTGCCTAAAATCTGGCTACACGACTTTACGCAGGCATGCAGGACCGTGTTCTTGTTAGCTTTCTAAAGCCTCTTCTTAAAGGATTTAACCAATGGCTGCATGGTGGCATGCGGTGACCAATCCCACCTAAAATTTAGTTCACTTTACGGACCTGGTTGTAAGACCACTGGTGTTAGGAGAACAGACCTGAAGGCATGGAATCTTCCATTGGTAGTTTGAGGGAAGGAGTTCTCAGCCCAGTCACCGGGGTGGGCTGACGAAGAACTGTGTCTACAGTGTCACTCTGATGGCCTTTTCCAGAAGTCCATAGTCTCCAAGAGGATGCCGGCTCAGGCCCACACTCCAACAATGCTGTCTACCGATTGGCATTGGGTGAGGTGG